ACTATAGTGAGGCTGCGCACAGTGGCTCATGCTTGTAATTCCAGCACTTTGGGAGGCTGAGGCAGGTGGATGTCCTGAGGTCAGGAGTTCGAGACCAGGCTGGTCAACATAGTGAAACCCTGCCTCTACTAAAAATACAAAAAATTAGCTGGGAGTGGTGGCGGGCATCTAAAATCCCAGCTACTAGGGAGGCTGAGGTAGGAGAATCACTTGAACCCAGGAGTCGGAGGTTGCAGTGAGCCAAGATGGTGCCACTGCTCTCCAGCCTGGGCAACAAGAGTGAAAATCCACCTCAACAAACAAACAAATTATAGTGAGAGCTTTTGTCATACCTCCCAGAATCTGACAGCCAGGCAAGCAGGGATATAAGGTCAACTGAACTTAACAGATCTATCTACAGTCAGCATCCCACAGAGTTCCTATTTTCTCCTTTCACATCCATCAAACATGTTAATATTGATCATGCAGTTGGCCACAAAGAAAATTTAATACCAGCCAAGTGCAGTGGCTCACTCCTGTAATCCCAGCACTTCGGGAAGCTGAAGCAGGGGGATTGCTGGAGGCCAGAGCTTTGAGACCAGCCTGGGAAACATGCTTCATTCATTCATTCATTCATGAGAATGAATCCGTTTTGTGAAAGGAGCAAACCCTTGCAGGTACCTAGGTCTCATGAGCATGGAGCGCTGTGGGGAGGGATGTCAGTGGCAGTGAAAGGGAGCAGGAGGGTAAATTGAGGAAACAGAATCAAACACTGCCTCAATGACATCCTCCTTGCCTTCAAAGCCAACATTTCAGAGCCTGTCTAAATTTACTATCACCAGATCCTCACGTCCTGCTACTCCTCACCCATTCATTCCAACTGCTGCCATCATCCTACCAAAGCAGCAAAGGCAGACGCATCTCTTCCACGTCACTCACCACAGCCACAATGCCAAGCTGACCACTCTATTCCACAAAGCAGACTCACCCTGGCTCCTGATACAACTCCATCCTGGCTTTCTGGGACCCTCTCAGGCCACTCTTTTTCTGGGTCCTTTACAGGTTCATCTTCCTTTAATCAGCTGTTTGAGGTGAGTTCTTCAATCTCACTGTACCCACAACTTCAAATACAAAAACAACCTAGACAAATGTCTGTCTAGCAACACCCCCTGAGCCCCAGACCCACCAGCTTATTTGGTATCTCAAAGACACCTCAAATACAACAGGTCCAAAACCAAATACATGATCTTCTTCATCCTCCAAACCTGATCCCCATCCAGTGTCCCAGGTCTCAGGGACACCAGGGGGATGACTCTAGGGTGAGTAGGGGTGGTCTCTCCTTTTATGCACACCTCGCAAGCTGAGGCCAACTGCTCAGCAATGAGCAGTTCTACAGGAACATGCCTTGTCACCTACTTCCTAAAAATAGCCACGACCTTTTTAGTAGACACAGCAAGCTCACATCTGCTATCACCGCTCTTTCCCCACCCACACACTCACCCTTTACTCCAGCGGTGCCACTCCCCAGGCTGGATGTGCCATCTTCTCCCTCAGCCTCCACGTTTCTCCTCTCTGTGAGCAGCCTCCACGTTTCTCCTCTCTGCTCTCACTTAGATTCCCCCCATCTCACATCCTCCATGCCAGCTGCCCCCAGGTGTGAGGGGCAGGGGACACTTGACTTCCCTCTCAATTTCCTTTCTTTCTTTTCTGCTAAGGCAGAGCCCAAGCCCCTGGAAAACTAGAGATCCCAGAACCAGGCTTTGACAACCGCATGCTTCCCACCGCCCCTTCACAGCTTCAGGCAATCACACACCCACCATAATTAACATTGTCATCACCACTCCCGAGCTTATCTCAAACCCCTTTGGGATCATCTCATCTGATTCTCCATTCCAGGTAGGCATTTTATCATCCAGAACATGGGGCTGTGTGTGGCTGGGTGGCTTGTCCCAGGTTACGCAGCACAGAGAACTCTGTCCCCCAACTCCTTGGTTGCCCCAGCCCATTCCTTCCTCACATCCGCGTAGGCAAGGCCAGCAGTGGTTTGGGTCACTGTTCAGGCTGTACTTCCAGGATCCTCCCAAATAACAAACAACTATGTGACTATCAGGTTTTATTTCATGGGTTATAGCAGATAGGGTCAGTAAGCCTAATGTGTAACAGTTTCAGTGGTTATCAGACAGCTCCACTGAATTTCAACAACTCCCTTAAAAATGCAAACTCCCACCAAGAAAACCTCAGTTTCTTCATTAATCCTAAGAGCTTTCCTAGGTATCACTCAAAATTCCTACTATTCTGGGGGAATGGGATCAGAGGGTGTTACAGGAAAAAATCCAGAGAAAGTGAAAAGTCTGTTTTCTCGGCTGTGCTGATGAAGCATACCCTTGTGTGGATGCTTCCTTATGGAACCAAGTGCCAGGAACTGCTTCAGGCTTAAAGGGGAAGACGGTGGCTAAGAGAGAGGAGGCCAGGCGTGGTGACTCACACCTGTAATCCCAGCACTTTGGGAGGCCGAGGTGGGTAGATCACTTGAGGTCAGGAGTCCAAGACCAGCCTGGCCAACATGGTGAAACCTCATCTCCACTAAAAATACAAAAATTAGCCAGGCATGGTGGCATATGCCTGTAATCCCAGTTACTCAGGAGGATAGGGCAGGAGAATCACTTAAACCCAGGAGGCGGAGGTTGCAGTGAGCCAAGATTGCACCACTGCACTCCAGCCTGGGCAACAGGGTGGGATCCGTCTCAAAAAAGAAAAGAAAAAAAAAAAAAGAGAGAGAAAGAAGGGGGGGTGAATCCAAGAGGAAGGAGGGGGTGCACCAGAAAGGTTCTCTAATGTTCCAGCATTCAGCAGGCATTATGGTTCCACATTCACCTCCTGCCCACACCAGTTTCTCTTCTACAGTGAGATCCCAAGAAGAACCCACACTAACCTATTCTGTCTCAATCCCCACTCCTGTCATTCCAAGCCACACATCACTTCCCCAATCACATTACCTAAGCGTCACTAATCAATCCTGGCCTTCTAGACACATCCACTCAGGGCGGGCCCCTTCTAAAATATCATGCATAAAGGCATCAGATGGGACTTCCACTCCCACCTCTTAGTCCCAATTCATCTCCATCTCACCCTCCCCACTTTTCTCTGCCTATCCAAACCCAGCCTTCAAGGTCCCATATTTTAACCACAGGAAAACCACTTCCCTGCGCTGCCTCTGTTGTTCAATTAACGACAACTAACTTCCTAAGCACCTATATTAGGCAGGGCCCATCCTGAGTGCTGCCACCAAGAGGTAAGTTAGAAACAGCCCCACCCTCCAGGGTCAGAGGACACGGCAGAGATAAGCCACATGACCACACAAATGCTACACAATGCGAGAGACGAGAACTGGGTCAGTACTGGAGGGGCTGAGTGAGCTCAGAGCATATCCCAGCCCTCCTGCTAGGGAGCAGGCACCCGAAAGGCTCCCAGGAGGGTGGAGAATCCTGGGCAAGACAAGGGAAGGAGGGCATTCCAGGAAGACAGAGAGCATAAGCTTAGCATGAACCAAGCCAGAAAGATGGTCAGGAGAAGCGCATTTCAACTTTAGCTGGACCGTCCACTGCTACTATTTTTTTTTATCCTTACACCTGATTACTTATAAGCCAGGCCTGCCTGACACACTTTATGGCTAATACAGGTGACACCCACCTGGGACAAAAAGGTATGGTGCAGCACTCACCACCTGTCTGGTCCATACCTGAGCGCTGTATGGTTGTTAAATAAACGAATGCACTGAATCTCACAACAAGCCTGTGAGGCAGGGATTAGTATTACCCTCAATTTACAGATGAGGAAACCAAGCACAGACAATAGTCAGACACAAGATAGCAAAGTATGCACCCAAGGTAGTGGGCACCCAATGCCAGGACAACAAACTGCCTTGGCACCTCACCTGGCCTCTCTTGCCAGGCAACACCTTGCAGCACAAAGAATGCCGTGAGGAAAGGGGCCCCGTTAATCCTCCTGGAATCCCCAACAACTGACTGCCACATAAAAGGAATGAGGGAAGCAAGGAAGGCCAGTGAGGGGTGAGCATACCAGGCCCTGCCCTGCCAGCCTTTAGTCCCTATTGTGCCCAGGGCATGCCCAGGGTAGAGAACAGAGGGGAGAGCTACCACAAACGCCCAGTCTCCACAGAGAGGTCACTGACTGGAGGGCAGAGACAGAAATGCCGGGGCCAACTGCTCCCAGCTTGGGCTAGCACTGGCTGGCTTAACTTTTCTCCTCCAAAGTCTCTAGGTGACAAACTTCACATCTCTTCTTTAAACCAACAGAGCGTTTTATCTTTCTAAGTCTTAAGGGCCTGCCCTGCGCCCGTGGGGAGATGCAAGTCCTGGAATCCCTTTCTGAAACTGGGGATCAAGGCTGGAGAAGTGAAGGCAGCCACAGCACCTGGGATGGCTCCCGCATTCTCTCAAACACTGGGAAGAGTTCCTTGCAAATAAACTGCAATAGTAGCAGCTCCCAGGAATCTGCGTGCTCCCTGTTTCGGAGGAAAGTCCTGAAGGCAGCCTTCTCTGCTTGCTCTCCCCGAGCCCTGCCTGGAAGGGCGCGCGCACCCTAAAAGGCTCCGAGGGGCGGAGGAGGGGCTGGGCCTCCAGCATCCCTCCTGAGGCCGGTCGCCTCCTGAGCGCAGGGTCAAGGCCCCGGGTCCGCCATCGTGCGCGCCCCCGACCCTACCCAGACTCAGACGGAGCCCCTGACCCTGACCCCAGGGGGCCCGACGAGTGCACCCCTATCCTACGGGAGGGGGCAGCTCCCGACGCCGCAGCTGATCGAGGTGGCAGCCAGGCCGACACAGCCCGCTCGGGACCCACCGACGCCCTCCTCTGCCCCCACCCCATGCCTGCCGTGCAACCAAGAAGACGCAGGGCCACCCTGGGCTGGGCGCTGGATAGCCCCGGGCCTCACCAGCGGGACCGCGGTGCACTGCCGTCGCCAGGTCCCAGGCCCCCGGCCGGCCCGGGACCCTCACCCACCTGGCAACGGGGACCCGGGACGCTAGGGGCGAACCGGGACGTGGGAGGGAGTCGCTCTCTCCGCGAGTGTCCCGGGCGCGGCGCCTGGGTTCTGCCTGGGGCTGGGTCCCTCTCGCACTCGCGGGGCACTCGGGGCACTGGGAAGTCGCGGGCGCAGCAGCCGTCAGGGCGGGGCGGAAGGAGGAGCCCGCTCGGCGGAAAACTCCGCGGGCACGGCTGCCCCAGGCGCCGGGGGCAGGGCGGGGAGGGGCGGGGCCTGGGCGCGGCCCCGCACCCGAGATGAGGCCGGGGCTGGGCGGGCGCGAGGGGACCCCAGGCCTTCCGGCTGTGGAGCTGCTCCGGGACGCCTCGGGCTCCGGAGGTTCCTCTGTCGCCCTAACCCCTTGCGGCTCCCGGTGCCGGGCAGAGTCGCATTCGCCCTTCCGCAGGGGTGGGCATTTCCTAAGCCCCCTCCAGCCTAGTGTGCGTCGTTATTGTCCCACTTTAAGGTAAAGAAAAGGTTTTACACTGAAAATTCCTTTATAGCAACATTTTCTTTATGGCAACACTCAGTGGTGGGGAGGAAGGGGGAAGGTCTAGCTGAAGAAGGGAGCGATCTCGGAGAAACCTGACAAACCACCCAGCCGTCAAGGTGACCTCGACAGGGGTAAATCATACATACTGACTGCATGCACCGCTGTGGTCTTCCTCCCAAGAGCACCTAACCCCACTGTAATCATGAGAAAAACATCACAGATCAGTTGAGGCCCTTGCCACAGAATACATGACCAGTACTCCTGAAAACTAGCAAGGTCATCAAAAACCAGGAAAGTCTAAGCCACTGTCACAGCCAAGAGGAACCCATGGCGATATAAAAATGGCATGTAAAGTGTTATCCCGAACAGGGTCCCGGACGGACAGTAGGTAGAAAATAAGGAAGACTGAATATAATATGGACTTCAGTGCCTCAGTTTTGGTTCATTCGTTGTGGCAGAAGTGCCACACCAATATAAGATGTGAATATTAATAGGAAAACCCCGGGCTTATGAGAACTCCCTGTATTCACAATTTTCTGTAAATCTAAAGCCGTTCTAAAAATAAAGCATATTTTTGAAAGGTCATGGAAGTAATATATGCATATATAGTAGGTATAATTTTTTTTAAAAAAATGAGTGGTGGCTGACGCCTGTAATTTCAGCACTCTGGAAAGCCGAGACAGGAGGATGGCTTGCAGACTGGGCTTCCAGACCAGACCTGGGCTCTAAAAAAAGTAAAAATAAAAAATTCAAAAACCGAATAAAAATTAAGATTCACTCTTCCCTCGACTCCCAGAGCCCACTGTTAGGTATGTCCTTCCAAATATCTCTCTTCAACACATTTTTTTTTGTGTGTGTGTGCGTGTGTGTGTGTGTGTGTGTGTGTACATAAACATATGGTTTACAAAACGATGTTGCGGCACTTTTCTGCAACGTGTTGTTTTACTGACTGTATCCTGGAGGGTCTTTCCATACAAGCGCTCCGGGACAGACCTGGTTCTTCCCATCCACTGCACACTGTGCGCCATCGTGCGCGTCACCTTTCTTCATTACCTAGCTCCTTACTGAAGGACATTTAGGTTGTTGCCTGTGTTTGGCTGTTACAAACAGGCTGCTGGTTCTATTTCCCCCCTCTTTTTTTTTTGAGACGGGTCTCGCTTTGTCGCCCAGGCTGGAGAGCAGTGGCGCGATCTCAGCTCACTGCAACCTCCCCCTCCCGGGTTCCAGCAATTCTCCTGTTGCTGGGACTACAGGCGCCCAGCCTGTAGAGACGGGGTTTTGCTATGTTGGCCAGACTGCTCTGGAACTCCTGGGCTCAAGTGATCTGCCCGCCTCAGCCTCCCAGAGTGCTGGGATTGTAGGCACCAGTAGCCACGCCCGGCCCAATTTGCATTTTAAAGTAGTTCTGAACAATAAAAGCTGGAAGGACTGGGTGCGGTAGGCAGGTCCCGGACCGAAGGCGAGGCTCTGACCTCCACCCTGCCGGGGCAGGTATGCGGGTGCCAGGCAGAAACCGCGCTCTGGGGCAGCCTGGCCTTGACCTCACGACGGGCCCTGGGCGCTCAGTCATAACCCGTGGCCGCTCCAACACTCCCGCCCCCCACTAACAGGCGCGGCGCTCCTTCGGGGCTGAACCACATTTTTTGGACATGAGTGGGCGAGTGCGGGTGAAATTCAGGCCACAGGCTCCAGAGCGGCTCGGAGAAAACGCCGCCCGGAAACGAAGAGCAGAGGGTCAGAGGTACCAGAAAGACTCTCAAGAGTGGGTTATTACTCTGGTGGGGGCGCCCGCTGCGGCGCAAGAGACGGCGGGACTCGGAGCATGGGTGTGAAGCCCCCACGAAACCAGTGCGACGTTCCTGGGGAAGTAATGTCTCCAGGCCCTCTCTCTCGGCCCGGGGATTGGTCCAAGAAGGTCACCTGGCACCGACCCAGCCCTCTGCCTGGACGCCCGCGCCGGCCCTGCAGCCCCACAGCGACCACGAAGGCCAGCTTGAATGGCCCACTTTTCTCCGTGGCTGAGCGAATACTCCTAGAATACCACGTTTATAACAAATCATGTAGGGTGAATTCCTGCTGGATGTATACACCGTTCTGGTCTGACACAGAAAGGTGTATCCATCCAGCAGGAATTCTTTCTGTGTCAAACCCAGAATGGTGAATAACCACCCCTGTGCTTACCCTTCTATAATTTTCAGCAATTCTGCAGTGAGCCCCAGCTAGGTGCCAGCAAGGTGCTAGGGACTGAGGAGGCTCTGCAGAGGGCCCAAGCTGAGGTCCTAATCCTCAAGACCAATGGCAGGGGTCACCACCCAGAGCATGCAGTGTGAAGGAAAAGACGCCATACTCAGTGTTCAAAATGTCTGGGATCTATTGCAGTTCTGATTCTGACACTTGCAAGTCATGCATCCTCTAAGCCTCGGCTTTCTCTCTTGTATAAAATCTTCAATAAGACCTGTACAAATCCATAAAATCATCCCTGCTTCATTGTTTCCCAGGGCTCATAGAAACATCCCACGAGGTAAGGGAAAGTGAGTGCCTTGTAAAAAATGATGACGTGCTATGTAGCTCTGAGTAGTATGGTGTATAAGCTTCCTTTTAAAAAAGTTTTATTTTTACGGCCAGGCACAGTGGCTCGCAGCTGTAATCCTAACACACTGAGAGGCAGAGGCAGGTGGATCACCTGAGGTCAGGAGTTCAAAACCAGCATGGCCAACATGGTGAAACCCCATCTCTACTAAAAATACAAAATACAAAAACCTCGTCTCAAAAAAAAGTTTTTTTAATTTTTATGGGTACATAAGGTGTATTAATCTTTCTAACATTGCCTCCCTCAAGGCAACAGTTGAGCACAGCCAATGTGACTGGTCATGTGCTTGGTGCCCAATAGAGAGACAAGTGAAAACTCTCTTGTTTTTTCTGGTTTCTAGAGTTGAACACTAGAGTCATGTATTTTCAAAATCTTTGGTTGTTTTCTTTCTTTTTTATTTTATTTTTGAGACAATGTCTCACTCTTGTTGCTCAGGCTGGAGTGCAGTGGTGCTATCTTGGTTCACTGCAACCTCCGCCTCCAGGGTTCAAGCGATTCTCCTGCCTCAGCCTCTCTGGTTGCTGGGATTACAGGCATCTGCCACCATACCTGGCTAATGTTTGTACTTTTAGTAGAGACAGTGTTTCGCCATGTTGGACAGGCTGGTCTTGAATTCCTGACCTAAGGTGATCCTCCTGCCTTGGCCTCCCAAAGTGCTGGGATTACAGGCATGAGCCACTGTGCCCACCTCTTTTGTTATTTTCTAATAAGTACATGGGAGTATCATTTCCCTCAAAAGTCTGCTTTAGCTGAATATCACAAGTTTTAATATGCCATGCTTTTGTTATCTCTTAATTATTAATATTTTGGGTGTTTTTTTGTTTGGTTGGTTTTTGTTTTGTTTTTTTTTTTTTGAGACAGAATCTTGCTCTGTCATCCAGGCTGGACTGCAGTGGCACAATCTCAGGTCACTGCAACCTCAACCTCCCAGGTTCAAGAGATTCTCCTGCCTTAGCCTCCTGAGTAGCTGCGATTACAGGCTTGTGCTACCATGCCCGACTAATTTTTATATTTTTAGTAGAGATGGGGTTTCACCATTTTGGCCAGGCTGGTCTCTAATTCCTGACCTCAAGTGATCTGCCTGCCTCGGCCTCCCAAAGAGCTGGGATTACAGCCACTGCGCCTGGCCAATATTTTGGTGTTTATGTTAGGAGTGTATCCTTAATTCATAAATTATTTAGAAATACATTTTCCTTTTTTTTTTTTTTTTCCGCTTTCAAACTTCTGGAGTGTTTGTTTGTTTGTTTGAGATGGAGTTTTGCTTTTGTTGCCCAGGCTAGAGTACAATGCTGTGATCTTGGCTCACTGCCACCTCCACCTCCTGGGTTCAAGCAATTCTCCTGCCTCAGCCTCCTGAGTAGCTGGGATTACAGGCATGTAAATTAGCCACCACACCTGGCTAATTTTGTATTTTTAGTGGAGATGGGGTTTCTCCATGTTGGTCAGGCTGGTCTTGAACTCCTGACCTCAGGTGATCCTCGAGCTTCGGCCTCCCAAACTGCTGGAATTACCTGTGTGAGCCACCATGCCTGGCCACAAACTGTTTTTATTTAAAAAAAATAATAATCATTTGGGGAGGGGCCCAGTGGCTCAGCCGTGTAATCCTAGCACTTTGGGAGGCCAAGGTAGGAAGATCGCTTGAGACCAGGAGTTTAAGACCAGCCTGGGCAACGTACTGAGAGCCTCTCTACAAAAAAGTTTTTAAAATAAAAATAAACCAATCATTTTGTCATTGATCTCTCACTTTGATGCTTGGAGATGAGGAAATGTGTTTTTTTAGAATTTGTTAATGCCTCCTCTGTGGCCTCATATACAGACTTTTTTTTGGCTGTCCCAATTTTTGTGAATGTGTCTTCACTTTCTATGTGTGTGTGTGTCTGTGTTTTTTTCATTATATATCTCAGTCTGGTTTGGTAATCAGGTTATTTAGATCTTTTATCTCCTAGGGGTTTTTTTTCCTCTCCTGTTCAATCCATTAATTTCTGAAAGAGTAGGTTTAACATGTCCCACTTTTATTGTAGTTTGTCAATTTCTCTCTTTAACTTAGTCTGATTTTGCTTTATATCTGTTTTCAGTTTTTTGATTTTTGTTTAAGTGGCAGGGT